ATACTTGGAAATAAGGGTTCTCTCACTCCTGACAAACACTGCAGCCACTATTATGATCCAAGAAGATATGAAGGAAAATCACTTCGCATTCTTCTGATGTTTGACTTGGGCACTGCCAACCAGTAGTATACGGTATTATTGTTTCTTATTTGATATTACATATTACTAGAGAGATTAGGTCACCAATAATAAATTCACAGGAGAGAAGGGATCTTTCATCTTTCAATATTTATTCATAGTATCAATAAGTAATTCCTGTTTATAACACTAACACAGGAAGAGAAACTACACTGTTGTTTAAAAAAATATTTACGTTTTTCTGTTACATGCCCAATGTAAAATGAAGAAAAGCGTAAAGTTCCTTCATCACATTTTCTAATCAATGCCAAAACACAGTCAAGTTTGGAAATGTGTATTTAGGACTTAAGCTTAATATAGTTCCTAAATTTGTCTTTACTGATATACTATGGGAATAACTTCCCTGTTTTTATGGTTCTCTGAAATGGAGGAAGGAATTCACAGCCAAATCAGCCAAATTGATAGGGTTTTTTTATTTTTTTTTCAGATTTGATGCTGATTCATTTCAAAACAAAAGAATAAACATTTAGAACTTCTTATAAATAGCCCTGGGGGAAAGGTAGCAAGACACATCGTCCAGCTCAAGATCGGGAGCCGCAACTGTTAGTTTCCACCTGGAAAACAAGGTACCCCTTTTTTTCATATTAAGATGCTCCTATTTTAAAAAAAATTCTCTACCTGATCTCAGTTAGATAGAGTTTAATAGGGTGCCTATAAATGGATGGCATATTTATATTATCTCCTGGTTTGGAGAGGTTGGTAAATTGTGTAAATCTAATCCACAATGCACCTGAATTCTCACTTAAGTACTGCATGGGAAGGGATTTATCAAAGGAAATTTTTTCTCTAAGTTCCTGCTGGACTCAGGAGTTCACATAAACCCTAGGAGAACAGGTCAGTTCTATTCGGGAAGCCTCACATTCTTCCGAAGAACTGAGAAATGTCGGCAAGTAAGCCCCTCTCTTTTAACAAGTTCTTTGAAGAGAAAAGAACTGAGGAAAGGAGAAAGAAAAATTTTATTATTTGAATGTTCTATAAATGTTTTGTTCCTCCTGGAGCATTCTAAAGTACTAAATCACAAGCAATACGTG